AACATTCTTATCTGCAGAGAGAAAGGCCAAAGATACTTATGGGCTGGAAAAGGAGGGCCATAGAGTACCTGCCACCCAGAATAATAAGATCAACAAATATGAATTACAAGGCAAATTATAAAATCAGCAAGAAAGAAGGCAGGGCTAACTGGAGATGAACGGGCTTACAAAGGCAATTGCTAAAGAAGGAAAAGGAAAAAGGGTAGAATCTTCCAGGCTCAGAGGATTATGGGAGACAAAGCCATAGACAAATGATTTTTGATGACCATATACACAGTGAGAGGCCTACCATGACCTGAAGAGACCAGAAGTGTGATGCCTAACATCAGTTGCTAGCGTGACTCCATTTGGTATCAACTAAAATCCAAGGAGCTAGACATCCCTGCAAGAGTTCTTCATTGGGTCATTTCAGATGGTAAGACCTATCCTAAACATAGGCCACACCTTCCAGTGGTAGCACACATAAAGGCCACAGGAGTTCTTGCTTTTTGTCTGCATGCCCTCACTCTTAATGACAAGTTCATCTATTCTGCTGCCTGAGACATTCCTTTGCTGGCATCAGAACCTATTCCTCAGGACTCCAATGTTGACTGGAGACCAGCTGAGACATTCGGCCTCATGGACTGAACAACTACTAGATCCTTGGTCTTTCCTTTGAGAGATAGCCATTGTGGGACTAGCCAGACCACAGTATGTAAGCCATTCCAATAAATTCCATGTGTGTGTGTCTGCATGTGTCTGTGTAAATAAATTCTGTGTGTGCATGTGTATGTTTATGTATGTATATCAATTAATTCTACTAGTTCTCTTTCTTTAGAGAACCCTGGCTAATACAAAAGGAAGATTAAACGAGTAAGAAGAAGCCAGGGTCTTAAAATGCAGTGGTCATACCCCTCAAGATTCCAGAGGGCAAGAAATGCACACACAAACACTTATATGTGTTTACGTGTTTAAAATGCATGTCTTTATCAAAAAGAAAAATGTGAAGCTGACTTAAAGTCAAGTTTAGCACCAGTCAAGTGTCACACAGATTAGCATCGTCAATGAAGAGGGTGCAGAAAATAGTGACATTTATAAAATTTTGTGCTGTTTAATTGCTGGTCATTCAAGTTTCCTAAATACATGTGAGACGAACAAGCCATATGGTAAAAAGAACACAACTGGGATGTGCTGGGATTCGAAGCAACCAAAAAGTGGGAGTCTATGGAGGGCAGACAGGAAGGACATCAGTTTGTCAGTTGTGAGTCAGGATGTGAGCCAAAAGGACATGAGATAAGTTAGGATGTGCTAGAACACGGAGGGAGAACATTGACACAGCACACTGACATGAAGAAAGGGTTTGGCAGGTGAGTCCCCTCGTTTAATACTCCCCCTGCCTTCCTCTTATAAACCTGTACACTGAAGGCTTTTTCCTGTGTCTTTTGCATACATATATCCTTGCCTCAGGGATGCTGATCTTTGCCATATAATTTGACTTGGTCAACAGAAGATTGATGTGAGTAGAGACTTCCACCGTGTTTGTATAACTTGACAAGATCTCATCTTTTTGACATCAGAACACTATCCTCTCTAGACCTAATCTGCAACCTGAAACTTGTGAGGCCAAGTGGGATCAGCCACACCCATCCAACCTATGACCCAAATATGAGGAAAAAGAACATGTATTTCATAAGACACTGAGGCTTAGAGGATGCATAGCTAGAAGGATGACCTGACCAATCCTACTATAGCAAAGAATAGGAGGTGGGACCGATAGCTGTCTTATGGATTTCTCTTCTATTCTTAGTTCCTACATCCCATTTCCCACGAGTTTCTACAGCAACTGTCCCCAAACCAGGTCAAACTCATCATTGCTTTGCCCAAAATCCCCAATGACTCTCAGTTCACTCTGATTAAGGATCAAAATTCTTACCAGGCATCCCTATATGATCTACCCACCTCCCATCCCAGAACCCTCTGTAATTTATCTCATCACTTTCATACCTTCTCATATGCCATGACTCTCTGTACCCTCCTTTGGATATCTTCTCTGCTTTATCTTCCACGTCAACAACATCCTCTTATATTACAATAGGTGACATCTTCACCTAGTTCAGAAACATGCTCAAACTTCCCTTTCTCCCAGGATCCTTCCTTTGTCACCAATTGTTAACTCCACATCCAGTCCTGCAATCTTTGACCCACTCTTCTGCTTCACTGACTACCTAATTATTACATGTACTATTGCTCATGTTCCAGTAGACTGTAAGGTCCATGCGGGTTAAGATATGTTCTATTCTGACTATTATCTTCAGCACCAAGAATAGTGACAAGAGCATGGCATAGCACAAATCTGATAAATGAAGGTGCAGTGCTTTAAATTCCTATCATAGGACAGTAGGCATAACAGTAAGCTAACAAGAAGGTAAACAAAAGGTGAATAACAAGGTTCTAAAAGACCTTGTCAAGCCAGTGTCGGGAGCTAAGCCATGGACACACAATCTGCCATGTACCACTCGGAGCAACTGCATAAAGTCACCAAGTTTGTCTCCTCATCAGTTAAAGGGGAACACACACAAACACACACACACACACACACACACACACACAGGCATGCATGCGCAAACACACGCGCGCACACACACACACCTACCAAAGGAAATAGCATCTGCCAACACAGAACATCCATCAAAGGGCGGAGATAGAGTATGTAGATTGTTCCCCAGTCATGCAAGAGACAGTGGGTGCCCAATGACTGGTCACTGGAAGGTACTTTGAGAGGCAGTGGTCATAAAAGTTTTCTCTAGAGCCTGAAAGCTGTTATGGATAAGAAAAAGAGAATCCAGGAGTCCCCAAGGAGAAAATAAGAACGACCTCGCTGGATTGGGAAAATACAGGGAGCCTTGTGAGATCACAGGAGTCCGAGAGTAGCAATGGAATCCAAAGGGGGAAGGGAGTCAATTTCAGCGGAAGTGAGGATGGGTGGGGATAAATGTTTTAAGAGCTTATGTGTCACCCAACATTTAATATGAAATCTTCTAAAGTATTAAAGTAGTGGAATGAGGGACCCATGCAGCTGGAAAAAATCCAACCAGACGTTTCCTCATGGCTATCCCAATCTACATCAGGATGGACATGGTCACCTCTTCCATTCCGAATCAGTTCTCCCACATTAGCAGAAGACTCCACTATATTCTGTATGACACTCCCATGTGCCCCATTGACAGATGCTTAGAGCATAGCCTCTTGCCATGTCTCCAAACCATTCTTTTGTCCAGTCCTGACTGCTTCTGCATTGTGGGAATGGGCTCCACGGGTCTCCTCACCTCCAGTCCTGCTCCTCAGTCTCCATCTCAATTCTTAAAGTCACACTTTCAATTATAGATATCCCCCTGTAATTTAAACCTAATTATGTTAATTTCCTCCTAAAATCCCTTCAATAGCTCCCTCAAACCTAAAATTTGTTAAGTTTCATGCCACATGTCTTCTGCTCCCAGTCTTGGGGCTTTTCACTCAGCTCTTGAACTTACTCAGCCTTTGCAAATGTTCCCTCTGTCTGGAATATTTTCCTGTACTCTACTTCATTCATTCCTGTGCACGTTTGGTCTTGGCTGAAAGGGCACCTTGTGTAAAATGGCCACCCAACACTTATCTTGGCTCTCAGTACTCTCCCTCTCTCTCTTAAGTTTATTGCTGTTGCCAGCAAACATTTTCTGTAAAGAGCCAAACAGTAATCACTTTAGGCTTTGCAGGCTCTGGGCTGTCAGTCACAACTACTTGGCTTTGCCCATGAAGCATGAAAAAAGCCACAGACAATACATGAATGAATAAGCATGGCTGGGTTAGAATAAAACTTTATTTAAACAACGGGCAGCATGGCTGAGTTTGTCTCCCAGGCTACAGTTTGCCATTTCCAGTTCTCCATCATCTCTGGGTATAGAAGAGAGTTTGTCCACCAGTGGCATTTGAGTGAAGAAGGAACATGGAAGTGGATGTGAATTGATGAATGGTACAAACGCCAAGTCCCTCTTGTTTAAGAACTCCTAAGATCAGATTCATGTACAAAGAGCTGTGTTTTCTTGTTTTTTCATGTTCAAATAATAAAAATAATAACCGTATGTACTGAGCACTGGTCTTTTAAAGGTGTTATAATTACTAACCTAATTATCTTTAAAATGGATGAACATGGAATGTAAAAAATTAATTGAAGTCACATAAACAAAAAAAAGATCCACATTCTTGCATGTTCTCTCTCAAGTGTGGAATCTAGCCATGCATGTATGCAGTGATTCTCAACCTTCTTAATGCTGCAACCCTTTAATAATACTCCTCATGTTGTGGTGACAGGCAACCATAAAATTATTTTCATTGACACTTCATAGCTGCAGTTTTGCTACTTGTGCTTTTTGATGGTTTTAGGTGACTCCTGTGGAAGAGTCAATCCACTCCCCACCCACAGGTCACCACCCATAGATTGAGAACCACTGATTAAATAAATGTACATGTGGGTACACCAGGACATGAAGAGAAAACAACAAGAAAGGCTAAACATAAGGGGATAAGGAAGGACTGAAGTCAGGTGATGGGCATGAGTTAAGAAAGATAATATAAAACTAATGTTTTTTTAGTTCTATCTAGTTCTAATGCTGTCGTTGATTTTTTTTTAAATTTTGGTGGTAAATAAGTACATAAAATACATTTGATAGATAATGAGAGTGTAAAATTCAATGTGAAGTGTCACATCTTCCATCCCGAAAATGACTACTTTAACTATACGGAAGTTTGTTGAGTTGTATAGACTTTGGGACAGTTTAATTTTGATGTGTAGCATTTTTATTGATTTTCAGGTTTTTTTAAAAATAAAACACTTTTAAATCTTTTTCGAAATGATGGGAGAAAGGATCTACTATTGTCCCTCAGTTTTCACAGGAGGAAACCTCAGAGAGCTACCTCACAGGTGGGCCTAGGCCTTGCCCTAAAGGCATTTCAGGTGGTTGGATCTTCACGGTTAGCCTTACTTGGCTTGGCCAGTGAGCCAGGACCCCAGCCTGGGGTAGAACACCCGTGCAAACCTGCCTGACTCACCGCTGAGATCCACCGCATCCCCAGGGGGACACTGCTACCTCTGCCCACTGGGTTCATCTCTGCTCTAGTCCCCACTGAACCTTTGAATCCTATCTCACCACTTGTTCCTTCTCTCATCTTTCTCCTCCCTCTGAGGAAGTTGTGATACCAGCATGCCGTGTTTCAAAGGTCAGTGAACAATGGATTGTATCCAAAACTTGAAAAGTCTGAGACGAATCAGAGATGAGAAATGCCATGACTGAATCAGTAGCAGGCTCAGTGGCCTTCCTACGGAGATTTAGCCAATTAGAGAAAACACTTCCTTTGGCCCAAAAGCTTGCCATTGAATCAGCCTTGGGGTAGAGCAGGCTGTAATGCTAACCCCCAAAGGGCTGCTCTTCACTCCGAGGCCGGATTTCATCTTTAATTTGTAGATGGTTATCTGAAGTATGCTACTGCGAGGGTGGGAGGGCTCCCAACAAAAGCAGATCTCTCGCCCAGGAGCTGGAGGTAGCTCGGCCTGGATCTGTCCTTTCCTCTTTCTGACAATGATTTGTGCTTCCCACCCTGAATTCACAGCCCACCGAAGCTCCCTGCGATGGTCTACACCTGACTTAAGGTACGTGATGCAGATGTGGCAAGGGGTGTGGCTTGGAAATTAATTGTTTCTTAACCATCTATGCATGTGTGTCTCAGATAAAAGACTAAGAACGTGAACTACCATTACCTGGGAGTCCAGCTACCATGGCACGTGGAAACCATCTGAGGAGACCCCAGGTTCAATCTACAGCACGGCCACATAGGCATTTCTCACTAAAATAACATCTGGCTTTCATTCTTTAGTGACAACTTGTTTGGATGAGAACTTGGATAGTTTTGGGTTTTGTTTTGTTTTAAATTGGACTTCTTACCATTCCACCAACTAGGAACTAGGAACTAAACTTTGCTTGAGTTCTTCTGTGAGCCCATGGCATTAGGGGAACTGGTGTGGGGACAAGCTCATTGTAAGCAAGATATGTGTTTCTTTTTTATAAAAGACCTTGGTTCTCTGAAAAATGCACTTGTAAGCAGGGGGGAGAGTCCCTGGAGAGAATATATAAAGCTATGGACAGCCCATAACAAGAGTATTTGGCAATACCAGGCTCAACTCTGTGGTAGAGAGGTTGGAACAACAGTATAGGGTAACTTGGAAACCTCATGTTTGAATTTTGCAGAGATCCATGAGAACAGGACCCCAGACCTTCAACACTGGAGCTGTGCTGGAGAGCTGGTGGCCCAGCTGCCTGAGAACCTCTGCCCAAGTTCTCTGAAGACAGAGGTAGTACAATTTTTTTCTCTACTGAACGACCACACCCCAAACTGCCTCTGCTTGTGGAAGGCACTATACAAGTTTGCTGAATGAATGGACCTGGTGAATGGGACATAGTCTGGAGGGAGAGGCCAGCACAGCTCATTGAAAATATATCCAGAACATCACCCACAGTTCTAAAACAGGGCAGGTCACTAGTCAAGCCACATGGTAAGGAAGGATGCTTAAAGCAAAAACCCAAGATGGAAGGAACCAATGTTCCAGTGTCCTGGTTCTTTAGAGAAATGCGTTTTGTAAAGGAAGTGACACTTCAGTGCAGAGTCTCAGAGCCAAACCCAAAACTTTACTCCAAACCCACCAACTGCACAGCAGAGTGGAGAGTGCTTATACATTTCAGTGAACAGAGAAGGGACGGGGAGCCATGTTTGCTCCTGGACTGTCTTGGAGGTCTGTTCTTAAGCCATACTCCTCCTGACCACAGACCATTTGCATGTGCTATGTGCTTACTTATGTCCCCACGCCTTTACGTCACATTTTTAATGCCCTCAGACCTTTCGCCCCGCCATCACTACCTCAGGAATGTCCTCCCTGACCAGCACTCCTACCACATCAAATCAAACCCAGGATGCCGTCTGGCAACAATGCACTCCCACATGGTGCTTGTTACAATTGCTATTTTCCATTCCTTGTGACTCTTTGATCAACAACTCTCTGCACTGTCCAACACGCTATCCACTGACCACGTGTGGCTACTTAACTGAAATGAAATAACATCTCTAATCCAGCCCTTGGCTACACTGGCCACATCTTAAGTCCTCAATAGCTTCACATGGCAAGTGGCAATTATACTGGACAACCCCAGCCCCAACTGCAAAAGGTTCTGTTGGACAATGCTGCACTCAGTGAAGACAAGACGGACAAAGGAGAACATCAGGAACCTACTGCTTCAGTGATGGAGGAAGATGGAATGAGGTGAGCAAGGTAAGGCACTCGAGTTGGTACTACACAAAGGTCTCCTAAAACAAAACTATCTTTACGTGTGAGACTTGTAAAAGTTGAGTGGAAGATGCAATATTTATGCTGGGCTTTGGGGACTGGATAGGTGTTTGGCAGCAGAGAAGCATGGTGTTAAAAATAAAACAGCACCTGAGCGACGCCGCGGCTTCAGCAAAGTTTGCCATCCTAGTTTCACATTCATTGCTCTCACAGAATACCCTGGAAAAGAATAACTTGAAGGGACAAAGTGTCTATTTGGCTTTCGAACCCAGGTTACAGTCCATCATGTGTGGAAGTCGAGGCAGGAACCTGAAGCCAAATCGAGAGTCAAGAGCAAAGAGAGAATGAATACATGTGTGCTTACTGTTCAGCCCCATTCCTATTCTTTTACAGTCTGGGATGCAATGCTAGGGAATGGTGTCACCCACAGTGGACAGTTAATGTAATCAAGACAACCCTCCCTGCACCTCCACAGACTTGCCCTTAGGCCAACCTAATCTAAACACTCCCTGCTTGAGACTCACTTCCCAGGTGCCTCTTGATTGTGTCAAGTTGACAATTAGAACCAACCATCTCCACTGTCACATCTGGGGATAAACAGTAATTCATCTTGAGTGCCAGGCAGATGTATAGAATGAAATCCTTGAATGGAATACTAAGGCAACTGGATTTAACTCACCTGCAACTCCAGGTGAGATTAATGTGCACCTGCTATTGGTCAATGCTACTAGACACCTTCTCACATAAACAACATGCCTGTGGTGTGACTTCTACAGTGATCCTCATTTGTAAATAAGAGCACAGGTTCCTGTGAGTCATGTGGGGTCAAGTGAGCTGAGTAAGCTGCCACAAAGCCACATGGCTAAGCAGTGGTAACACTGTGGTCACTGACATGGCTCTCTGAAGGCAAACAGAACACTGTCCAGCCCTCAGCTTGGGCTGCAGCTACTGAAAGTAGGCACTGAATCAATCAGTATTGGTTTTGGGGAAATGCCTCCAGCTGCAGAGAAGATGGAAGAAAAGGAGATGGGCAGCATTGCTGAGGATAGGAACACTGCAGGGTTCACAATGGAGCCAAAGTGTACTCTGGGGTGAACCCAAACCAGTCTCTTTGAGATCTGTGTGCCATGTCTGATCTGACCAATGTCAATAACGGTGCATTGCTGGATTATAACATGAAAATAAAAGACCTAGAGACACACAAGCTTCAAGCTGAAGATCAGGAAAGCAAAGCAGCTGGTCACTAGCCCTTACCTCTACCTCAGTTCAGACCAAATGGGCGACCCTCAAACTGCTACCGATTTCACTGTTCCTCAGATTCATTCAGACTGCTATGCTCTCCTCAACATGGCTAGAGACGTCAATGTCTTCCTATTGTCAATGTGGCTAGAGAATGAATGCCAGCTCTGAGATCCTGTTCGTGTCTTAAATACCTCTCATGAGTCCTGGGATTAGAGGCGTATGATCCCAATGGCTGAGATCATCTTTGTGTGAGCTGTTTCTCTTTAGGACTGGATCAATTTCATGTTGCTCAGTATGGCCTTGAGCTAACAGAGATCCGCCTACCTCTTAATCCTGAGTCCTGGGATTAAAGATGTGTGCCTGGCTTCTATGACTTGTGGCTGACTTTGCTTTCTGAATCTTGAGGCAAGCTTTAATAAATCATAAATAATATATCATCACACTGGATGATAGTAAGGGCTTAACAAAGTAGATGATTCTTATAACAGCTACCAAATAAATACTAATGGAGGTTGCTAAGAGGCTGTTGGAAGTTGGCCTCTTTCTCCAGGTTTTGAGAGGCCCAGATGACGGAAAGCCTCTGTAGTCTGAATCATTAGAACTTGACACCATAAGAAAGACTATGGCTAAGAAAGAAACAAAGGTTCCCAGAAAGGTTTGGAAAGAGTAGAAAGGCAAATGTTACTGTAATCAAAGATGGGAGATGCAGAGAATACAGGTTTGGAGACACAAATAGAGGTCACAGTGACTTTCCTTGAATTCTCAGCCTAGTAGGCCAGTTGGTACCATGAAGACTAGTGAGGCAAAACTACACTGAAGACTGAAGAGGATTCTTTTCAATCAAGAAGTAAGGGGGCTGAGCTGCCAAAACTTCCAAAGCCAGACCAACCACATCGTAAAGTGCTCCCCACCCCAAAGCTACCCAAGGTTCAACTCTCTACCTACTGGAAGCCCATGTGGCATGGCTGCCATGTGGCTATGCATAGGGTCACACCTTAGACCCAACCAAGCAGCCAGACAGATAATTAAGCACACCAGCCAGAGCTGTTCAGTTTCCTGGTATATAGCTATGTCACTCAGTACATGAACTGGAGACCAGCAGCATCCAAGGGCTTGTGGGAAACACAATGGTGGACTGAAGAGATAGCTCCATCAGTAAAGTTCTTGCTTTGCAAGCATGAACCTGGAATCAATCCCCAGATTACATGTAAAAGGGGGTGGGACTGGCACAGTGACACATATTTATAGTCCCAGTGCTGAAAGGCAGAGAGAATGGATCCACAGGATCCACAGGCCTGAGAGACTAGCCTATTCTAGCTTACATGGTGAGCTCCACATGGCAAGTTCCAAGCCAGTAAGAGATCTTTTGAGATAAACTAAAAAGGAAGGAAGGAATGAAAGGAGGGATGGAAGGAGGGAGGGAGGAAGGGAGAAAAGGAGAGAGGGAGAGAGGGATGGAAGGAGGGAGGAAGGAAGGGTGCGTGTGTGCGTGCGTGCCTGAGTGACATGGACTCATCCTCTGTTCTCTGAGTACACATGCACATATACACATACACTCAGGTCATAGATCAGGTGCACTCAATCTGACTGTATGTCAACCACATGCCCAGGTGACTTATGGGAACATTCAGGCTTCTGAGTTACAGTGCTGTAGACAGCTTAGTTCCGGTTGTGCACTTGCTGGTTCTCTGACGTTGGGCAATGACTGAACTTTCTAGGCCTCTATTCTTCATGGGGCCAATGGGAGGCAAGGGAGCTAGTGCACTGGGCAGTTCTGCGGCGTCCCTGAGCATATGGATGTGGTGAACACAGCTGTGTAGCTGCTAAGTGTTGAGTCAATGCTAGTGATGGTTATTGAAAATGTGGGGCTCAAGGCCAGAGGCAGAATAATGGTTCACTTGGCTACTCTTTAGGTAACAAGCTGTTCAAGAAGGGATGAGACTGGTAAAATTAAGATGAGAGGAGGCTTCCACCCATGCAGGATCCTCCTCAGGTACAATGATTTATCACTGAGGGCTTTGGAGCCTCCAGCCCTCAGAGCACTGGAATTGCATCTGGCCCACCATCTTGGACTTGCAGTTCAGGACAGAAAGATTAGGCCCAGAGCCAACATCAATAGTGAAACAGGCTCCAATCACTCTCCTGATAAGATCAGCAAACAAGAGGGCTGCAAGCCTTGGGGCCCATTCCCTGAGGACAGGGCAGCTAAAGAGTGAATCTGCATCCCTGCCAGGCAAAGGCTCAAAACCAGGAGAATCAGGAAGACCACCTCAGAGCACCTGGAATCTCCAGCAGAGGTGGGCACTGGCCTGTCACACTGCAGAGACCCAGGGAGCTCCCTGACCATGAGACCAGTTCCCTACTTTATAAGTTTTAACTGATTTAATCCTTCCAACCTCTATACAAAGTCCAGACCCCACCAGCCTCATTCACTGCTGAGAAAAACCAAAGCTGGGAGAGCCAAAGACACCTGCCCCCAACTCATGTCACTACTTAGTGGCACACACACAGTGCTTCTTCTCCCCATGTGTGTAACTTGATGATCAGTATCCCCTGCAGGCTGGCTGTCTTGTGTGTCTTGTCACCAGTGCTGCCTAGAGAAGGTTGGGTGGGGATAAGCATCCATCCCGGGATTCCTAGGCTCACTCATAGGATGGCATCTCAATGAGATCACAGGCAGTCTATTACTGTAACTACAGACAGGCATCGGCCAACGACAGAACACTGTGGGAGCTGAGCGCTCACTGTGTGGCTTCCCCTCTTACACTTGGAGAGCCATCTGAGATCCCGACATGTCCCTAGTTGTTTTCCCTCAGTGTACTGCTCCGTGAGCTTCAGGATCAGTCCTGGATGCCATGAGCATCTGCTCCAGGAAGTGTATTCAAGGCAAGTCTGCTCACTCACTCAGCAGGTGGACCCAAGCAAATGGCCTATAAGGGTCCTCACCCAGCCCACTTTACCCAACATGTCTCATCCATGATGCACCTCTCCCAAGTTGGACATTCAGACCCTATCCTGTACGGGGTAACAAACACTGTTCGGGCTACTCCAGTGCCCTCTGTGGTCAGTAGTCTCATGGGAGGAGGGGACAGTCAGAAGTGATGCTACTAAAGTCAACCCAGTGTAAAACAGGCTTCTCCATTATAAACTAAAAGATGGGTCCTAAACAAAGGCAAAAAAATGTCAAAATTGGAGGTTAAAAAAAAAACACTCAAGGCAAATTCTCAAATGGTTTGCAGTATCCTTGATCCTGGACAAGCACTGGGGGTATGTTTTTTGAGATATGGGACTTTTTGGCTTTCTTCAGGCCAACCAAAACAATGATTATCCTCCACACCTACAGATGAAGCTGGCTCTGAATGTTGTATGACCTTCCCATCTCTTTTTCTTCATCCTCATTCCCTCACCCACTCACTGCCTTTCTTCTCTCCCTCTCTTTCTCCCTGCCTTCTTCCCTCTCTCTCTCTCTTTTTCTTTCTCTGGTTTGTATAAGAAAATGTTTTCCCAAAGCACATAAAAGAAAGGAGCTAGTGTGTAATTTTGGAAGGAGAACCAAGACCCAGATAAGTGAGTGGTATTTTCATACCTTTTACTGACTTCTAATCCTTGCCAGCCTTGCACCACGAACAGGCAATACTCACTCTTTTCAACGTCCACATTAGTCAACAGAAACAATAAAAAACACATGTACTTGGTGAGAGAAATATGACTTGCCACATGCCTACTCCAGGCTGGCCCATCAAATCAATTTGGTTCCCTAAAGCACAGCACAGGTATCAAATGACAGGTGACAGTGCCCTTTGGGACAAACGCAGTGGCTCTTCCTCGATTCTACCATACCCATCTTTTCATTTCTGCTCTCTGACCCTTTGTCACCCCCTGCTTCCACCTCTCCAATCTTGCACTAGACACTGGTCTGGCTTCTAGAGTGAATGTACTTTGCCCCGGTGCACACCTTACTAGGCTTGTCTTTAGAAGAGGTCACTGTAATCCCAAAGCTAGTGTTCTTGCCCTAGGTACCTCAAGGGGCCAGGATTTCAGCCAGTACTTGCTTTCTCCTTTGCACCCAGGTCGCCAAGCGCGAGCTGCTGGCTTCCTTGTGTAACCAAACTTAAGCTGGTGTAAGATCTTAAGGGCGAAAGTGAATCATACGCACCAGGTTCAGAAACCTGGCCCACACCATCGGAAGAAAATATGATGACTCAGAGTGAATATGGCTCAGAAAATTAGTGCTTCCCCTCTGCTCAGGCTGTTTTGTTTATACACTACTTCTTCCCATTCAACAGGCTGTCATTATGTGAGCGCCAATAAGCCAGGCCGAATCGTGGACACAATATATCACTGTTCAGCGCTGCCAGAATTGGAGCATAAAGACCACTTAACTCGAAGCAAAATCTGGGAGCCCACAAATTAGTCACCACAGAGATGCCAAGACCATGTTAGGCTATTCACTGCACTCAACAGTATTACACATCTGAATGGGTTTAAGGCTCCTTGGAGGGGTGCGTGGGGGAATTCGATCGCTGCTTCTGTTGCAGGCGCTGGTGGCCACTAACTCTCCTCTCCTGCTGTGGCATAGTACATGGCAGTCCCAGTGCCTCCAAATGCCTTTCTAGCCCTGTTGCTACGTTGACCTCCACCTACCAGCTCCCAGTGACACGTCTGCATTTAGGTCTGCATTTTGCCACATCTCTGGTGTCCCCGTCTCAAGGATAATGGAGAATGTGAAGTGTACAGTTCAATGGGAAGCTATTTCACCATATCATCTGCTCAGGCAGAGAGTCAAGGTTGTAGGGGCGTGGACTACGTGTTAATGTTACTACAGTGTGGACTATGGGAAGAACACAAGGATGTGTGTGAGAGCAATTTCATTAAAAGTCCATTATGGCTTGGCTGTGTGGTGAGCCATGCAAGCTAATGACCAGGTATTGTCAAATACTCAAAGGCTCTTGGCTCACCTCCCTGAATAATAAACTGACTTGCTTCCTGGGGGATGTATGTTTTTAAGTACACTTAGGAAGGCAGTGTCAGAGTTTTAATCATGTATATATCATTTTGTTGTCATTCTTCAGTATCATCTAAATTATTTAATAGACAAATAAAATACACACATGCACACAATTTAACTTGTACTTTTGATTTTTCACTTGAACATTGAGTGTAGCCCCATTCTAAGTAAATGCAGCTATCAGGTCATACACTTGAAGGGGTTCTTTATTTAACACATATTTGAAACACGCACAAGAGCACTCCATAGGAATTAAAATGAAAATACCATGCACTTGTGGAGTATACTATGCCTCATAGCACTTGGAAGAAAAACTGTAACACAGAGGTTGACAGAACCTTGTGACTTTTTCTTTTCCACTGTTGCCAACAAGAAAACTTGTGCTCAGCAGATGTTGAGTATCAGTCTACTGATTACTGACTTCATTTCTGGTGACAATTATTTGTCAGGATTGTGATGGATAAAGGGGGGGGAAGGATCTAAGCAAACAACTTCCCTCAACTCTAGGTCTAGGGACTTGGAAGCTATCATGTAAACATCTTTGCTCTGAACTTCTTGATCTAAGTACCAGGTGTGAGAAAATGGACAAAGTTAAATTACAACTTACTTTTAGAACATCAAGAAAGCAGAATAGTCACAAATGATGAAGGGATTCTGCCTTAGTGTCTCTGAAGGAAGCCTTACACCCAGACAGTTCAGGCAGTCCTAAGACTGGCACAAGGATTCAAGGATTAGCACTGCGGCTACTGTCATCCTGACAGAAGCACCAAGAGTGGTGATGGAGAGCCCCCAGCCAACCTGATCACAGGTGACTCTTAACAAAACAGCCAAAGCCTGGGAATTCATACTTGGAGGAGACAAACAACCCAAAAGGGAAGGTCTGCCTCTCACCGGAGATACTGAGCTACATGGAAAATTCCATACCCCAGTTCAAAGGGGCAGTGTGATCTAATAAATTTAGCTGCATGGGTTATTAAAAGCAATTGTATATTCAGCCTGAATGTTTTATGCATGTGTCTTTCCCATAGCTGAAACACATGTGAAAACAGAGAGAGTTCCCAGGGAGCTTGGTGCCCATTTTGATTGCATCTGACAAGCTATATGTCATGATGAAGGATGCTTCCAAGAATGACTTGTTGCCCAAAATCTGCAGGAAGGATGTCTTGGAATAGGCTGTCTTCAGAAGGGCCATACAGTAATTGAATCGGCAGCCAGCCAGAGCAGGAATAGTTCCTTTTGTTGGCTGGTTAACACCTCATCTTACCAAAAATGTCTTGTCACAGAGTGAATAATTCATGTGCTCTTGCTAGATGGGTTTAGCAAGTAGGTGTCCTACCAAGTAAAACAAAGGTGACAGGGATGTGCCTATAGGGATCAGTGCAAACAAGACTCCTACTTGATGGGATTTAGCACTCTTCAGACCTTGATCCTCAACCTGTGTGATCTCAGGGTCAGAAGATAAATGGAAAGGCAGAGCTGAGAGGCCAGAAAGCATTGCCTCAGAGATCACATACCCGGCCTCTCTTCTATTCTCCTTGGGCTTCTAAGAGAGACCTTTGCAGATGAAAAGGGTTTTTGAAACTCCAAAAATGATGTACGAAATGGGTCCTTGTCAAATAAATCAACCAAGGAAAACAAATCCAGCAAAGGCTTTGTTTTGTTCCCAAGGGCTGGCTCAGAGATCTGTTTCTGCAAGGATGCCTGTGAATCTTTCTTCCGGGTCATTTGTGGCAGCATCGCAGAAGGAAAGGAGGAGACCGTAGAAGATGGGGAGGGATGAAGTGGGGCCTTCATCTTTGACTCTGTCTTCAGAGCCCATCTACAAAGTAGAAAGAACAGGTGGGCTTTTGACTTTGTAACCATACCTCACCTAGTACCAATTATACCAGAGGATAACTAGGGGAGGATGATGGCAAGTTTATTGACTTGAGGGTAAAGGTCTGCTTTCAAATCTGGAGTCTACTGCTCACATCAAGGAGATTTCATATGTTTTTCTTATTGGCAAAATGGGAGGATGGGAACACATGCAATTACAGTAAGGATAAAATATAGACATGCAAGCAAGTGCATCATAAGACATCACTATAGAAATGAGACAGTAGAAAATTCCTGTGATAAGACATTGCCCAGGGGTGAGGAGCTCAAAGTGTCCATCCTTGACAGTTATTGAAAGTCATTAACTTCTGGGAGAGAGAGACAATTCCCACACTACAGTGGATGGCCCTACACCCATGAGTGCATGGGTGCCATAAACTGGACTCAGACTCTGAGAGTCACTGAAAGATAGAGAAAGGGAGAGGGGGGGACATGAAGTTGGAAGGGGGTGGGGAGGCAGGGGCTGAATCTGGAAGGAGTGAATATGATCAAAATAGATTGTATTAAATTCTCAAAGAAACAGTAAAATATTATATAAAAACAGAGCATTCCCAATTTATTATATAAATATATGCTGTAGTTACTATGCTATATTTATTCTACAGAGCACAAAAGGTTTAATCACTTTGAGAATAAAATATATATACTAAAATACAAATTAAAAGATAAAATCCATTTATTATATTTGGCATAGATAATACCTCAATAAGAAACGCTGCTTACAAGAATGTTTTAGGTAATATGTTGTTGGGCATCTTCTGCACCCAAAAATTCTCAAACCTATTATTTGGCAAATTTTAAACCACAGCCTGGAAGCAGTTAAGGCTATCCTAAAAGAGATGCTTTCCTAGTGGGTACCTCACTATGGCAGGATGGCTTCATAGGGAAGAAATGAGTAGGTCTTGTCATCCCCATTCAGAGGAAGGTGGGAAGAGGCAAGCTGAAGAATAAGCAAGCAAACCTTCTCTAATATGAGAACAGTAATGTAGGGCAGCAACAGTGCCTGGGAGTCTAGCTGGATGGTTAATGCTCTCACTGCCACTCTAAGGCAGGACACTGGCTTACATCCTGCAGCATTAATGCATGCAGCTTCTAGACAGGTACAGGTATATCAATACTGCGCAAATAAGTGACTTCCTGTGAGGAATATCCACAAGGGTGACAAGTTCCAATCCGACTTCACTAATGGGAGGGGGGAATACTCCACCTCACTGAGGCTCGCCTTCCCAGAAGGATGCGTGAGAGGAACACAAATAAGCTAGTGTTCAGAGAAGGGCTCCCTGAGGTAGGCCACTGATGGGTACCGAAAGATGGATGATGCTACCAAGGGAGGACAGTAGGCAAGAGATTCTGGCAGATGGAAAGTCAGAATGAGTGGACAGTAATATTGGAGAAGGTGGAAAGAGCTGATCCCTCAAAGTCCTGAACACCATGGCAAGGACATGAAGCCTGACTCTGCTACCCTGCTAGCCTAGGGAAACTGAGGATGGAATTCAAGCAGTCTGTGTTTGAAATGTCCAGTCTAGTGGCTCCTGCACGGAGAACACTGTTCAAGAAGCCAGAGTGGAAGCAGTCATGGAAGAGAGGTCTGCTATCCCTCAAGCATGAGATGATGACAAAGATGAGGTCAGCAGCAATGGTGACAGAGGCAGAGAGACACACAAGAGGCCGGGGGAGCAGGCAGCCCCCACTCATTGCTCCGAAAACACAGTTTCCTCCAGCCCCTGGTACCATGAATTCTCACTGTCCTCCCACTCACCACTCCCATCTGGGAGCCTTGGGAGTGGAGGTCTGTGCAAACCAGAGCTCTAATGGAGCACTGGTAAGCAAAGGGGAATGGGCGGGCATTTGCAAGGGAGGGTCTCCTGCCTTTGAGCAGCAGGGCAGATTTCTCAGGATGGGAACCTGAACTCTTCCCTATTGCCAAGATAGAACAGAAATGGGTTTGAAGCACTTTCTTCTGCTTAAGCACGGGTCCTGAAGACCCGGGGCACCCTGAAGGAGGACAGCTTCAGTTCTCGGGCTGCTCTCTGCTCTGCAGAGCTGGAGGCAGGAAACTCCTCTTTCCTTTGTGTCGTATCTGTACAATGATGGTAATAATGTTTGCCTTGAGAAAGAAAATCAAACATGTCAGGGAAAAAAGTTAAATGGAATGATTTCTAATGACATTCCGCTGTAATCATAGACAGTAGCCTAGCATGATCGTCATCAAAGAGGCTCCAGCTAGCAACTGATGGAAACAGATGCAGAGACCCACAGCCAAACATTAGGCGGAGCTTGAGGAATCCTGCAGAAGGGCAGGAAAGATTGTAGGAGCCAGAGGGGTCAGAGACATCACAAGAAAACCCACATCATCAACTAACCTGGGCTCATAGGGGATCACAGAGACTGCACCAACAACCAGGAGGCTGCATGGGCTACCCTAGACCCTCTGCATATACATTATGGTTGTGTAGGTTGGTCTCTTTGTGCAACTCTTAAGAGTAAGAGTCGAGGCTGTCTCTGACTCTTTTTCCTGCTTTTGGGGCCTTTTTCGTCCTACTGCGTTGTCTTGCCCAGCTTTAATACGAGGGGAGGTGACTAGTCTTGGTGCCACATTTGGTTGATATCCTTAGGAGGCCTGCTCTTTTCTGAAGGGAAATGGAGGAGGAGTGCATGGAGGACAGTGCTGGGAGAAGAGGAGGGAGGGGAAACTGCAGTTGGGATATAATATATGAAAGAATAAATTTTTTAAATTAAAATAAAAAAGAAATAAAGCCAGGCAGTGCCCAGGTCACCACATGTCATGGCTGACGAAGACAAGGTATCTCATTAATACCAGTGTGAATCTTCCATTCTGAGGCCCAGGTGGAAGCTATGTTATCCTCAGTCCCATTTCTCGCCCTGTCAGAACATACAGCGGTAGGTCTCAGGATATTTAAGGTCTTGGATCGGGTTTACTTTATTTTTGGCTCCAATCTAGACTTAGATTTACAGTATGGAATGCTGGGAGAAGGGCATTTTACATGCTGCAAACAGAGGATGCCCAACAAGATGCAGTCAGTCTTCCGTATCCACATTCAAGGAAATTTAGAACAAAATTGCTGGGGAAAGGTGATTTTGCTGAAACATGCACAGACACTTCTATTCTCTGAGCAGTATAGTATAGCACCCTCTTATGCAGCATTCCCACTGCACTGGCACTATGAGTAATCTAGAAAGCTTCTAGCACATACTAGAAGATGCACACGAACCAAAA